CTACAACCTCCTCTCAGGTAGTTGTAGAGAGCGATGAGGTCTCCCCTCAGCCTCCTTTTCTCCAGGCTGAACAACCCCAGTTCCCTCAGCCGCTCCTCATCAGACTTGTTCTCCAGACCCCTCACCAGCCTCGTTGCCCTTCTCTGGACACGCTCCAGCACCTCGACGTCCTTCTTGCAGTGAGGGGCCCAAAACTGAACACAGTGTTCGAGGTGCGGCCTCACCAGTGCCAAGTACAGGGGCACGATCACTTCCCTATAGTTTTGATAAGATAGTTTTGGCCGGAAGGTCTTGGCTGGTGATGCTCTTCTCTGCCCCACAAAACTCCCTCTAGCTACTCAGGGCCCTTCAGTGCCTAAAATCTACGAATCTGGAAAGGGAAAATGTGGGAACCTCAAAACTTTGCATTTCTGAGCAGCTCAGCAAGGGTTTTCCTCCCGAGTTTTCTCCCTGAGTTTTCCTCCGGTGCCATTACAGCTGAAAATGTTTAACCCCCCCCATGGCTAAAAGCTGCAAATACGAAAATGGTTAAACTAGCAAAGGTGCTTGGAGTGGCACAGCGGTTCCTACGAGGCCCCTCTCCAAGGCCTGTCCCTGAAGGAAGGGGCAAAGAAACCTTTTGTTGGATCCAGCCTGCTAGAGGGCGGAGGAGGCGGTGTGTGCCCAGCAGTGACCCGCTTGCGGGGAGGCTCTGGGAGTTTCCGACGTGCCCTGACGTCCAGCCTGGGAACAGGCACCTGCGGGAAGGACAAGAGAAGGGCTCCGTGCCCCGGGAGCAGAACTGGGATGTTCCCGGCGGGGGGGGGGGCGGGGGCTGATCACAGGGCTGCAGCTGGCTGCCTCTGCCCGACCCTCAGTGAGCGCCAGGCACTGGAAGAGACTTCTAACAGCAGCTTGGGCTGATAAATCCCTGCCGTTGGGCAAACAGCCTAAGCAGAGGGAGTTGTTTTTGCTATGTTTTAATGCAAAGCAGCTCAGGGCTTGCCCAGTTTGGAAAGAAGCAGGGAATTGGCCCCCGTCCACCCTGTAGCCCAGCGCCTGGCAACATCCTCCACGATAACCACGCTCCTTTCCCGATTTCCAGGTATGAAATAATGTTTGCGTGCTGGAGAGCTGACCCTGCCGCCCGCCCGACGTTCTCGCAGCTGAAAGTCCATCTGGAGAAGCTGCTGGAAAACCTGCCCGCCGTCAGGGGATCCGGGGACATCATCTACATCAACACCAGCCTGCCCAAGGAGAGCCCGGACTCCACCCAGGATTCAGGCTTCCCCCAAGCGGACTCTGATTTGGACCCCGGGGACGTTGCCGAGCCCTGCTCCCCCGGAGCGGAG